GTCAAAATGAAGCGCCAAAAGAAATTCTCATGATCTTTTATCAGGGATTTTTTACAACCATAGAGATCTTATTAATGTGTGTGTATACACCATAGAAAACAAAGCTTAAAGTCAGGCTCCGGAGGGAAACAAATTTTTGATATGTTGTAGAACTGATTTTTCTAAGACAGAAAAAAGTAGTTCGATTAAAAACTGAGCAACAGTGAATGAGATACATATTTTTAAATATTTAAAAACTGGGGGAAAAAGGTGTAAAAAAGGGCAGTTACGCCCCTTTCTTCCCCAGTTTTAAATTATTTAAAAATCTGTATCTCATTCACCGTTCCCCAGTTTTTCGTCAGAAAACTGTTTTTTTTTTTTTTTTTTTTTGTGTCTTAGAAAAATCACTGCTACAACATATCAAAAATTTGTTTTCCTCCGGAGTCTGACTTTAAAACTGTGCAACAATCTCCTTGCACAGTTTGCAAACTGTGCAGAATCTTGCAGTTTCCAATTTGTGCAAAGAAATCCTTGCACAGTCTGCATAGTGTGCAAGATTTTGTTGCACACTTTGCAAACTGTGCTTTTAGAGAGCTAGAAGCTTGTGGTGGGGGTGCGAGACCGATGCTTGTCTCACTATTTATGTCCCTCGACGAGACCCTTTATCTGCATTTTTCTCTCATCACCCAGGAGTATAAATGGGTACTAGGGGGGAAATGATTCAGACTGAAATTATATATGTACACACATGACTCGTCGGGGAGCGGAGGAGGTTGTACGTTGTGTGTGATAGATTCTGTATAGGGTAAAAAAGGTGCCTTGAGCAGATTTCTGGATACATGTGCTATATAAATCCAAAAATAAATGTAATAAAGTAAATATTTATTTCATGTCTCTGATAGCAATAGATGAACAACAGATAATTAAAGAGTTATTGATTTTTGTTTTGTATTTAAAGGGCTGGGATTTAATATCAAAGGTGGAAAAGATCAACCGTATTTACCTCTTGAAACTGGAATATTTGTTACTAAAATAAGAGATGATGGCGCTGCTGCAAAAGACGGACGATTACAGTTGGGTGATAAGATTCTAGAGGTGAATATTTTCTGAATGCTATGAATAATTTTTTTAAATTGTATTTAATAATGGAAATACAGTAGAACTCTAATAAGGGACCTCTTTAGGACCAACAAAAAGTGGTTGGGCGTAGTGTTAATAGATCTATAGTTGAACTTGCCTAAGTCGAATCTAAAGTGGCATTGAACAAGTGTTGAACTTATATAAAATTTGACTTACAGATTGTTAATGAATGGAAAACATAACAATTTGGCGTGTAAAATAAGATGGATACAGTATTTAAAATGGGATGGATAATTATTTGAGTCAACTTAGGCAAGTTTAACTGTATTTTTCCTTGATTCACATCCAAAAGTGTGTCACCTTAATAGAGGTGTCCTGTGAATGGAGGTGTCCTGTGAATTGGTGTGTCCCAAAGCAGGTGTTCTCCTCTACTGTTTTAGATTAGAGACTTTACATTTCAACCATGCCACAACTAAAGTGGATGACAAACTAGGTCTGCATGCCTTTATTCTTATTGTTCCATTTCTTGTGAGTACTTCTCCACTGCTACCGTCATAAATAGGCAAGGCTTTTTTTATAACTTGCTTCGCAAACCGACCGCCCACCAGTATTGATGATTTCGAATAAAAATGAAATGTTATTTTGTCCAATTAGTGCACACGCCGCAATGAAAAATTGGAAATTTCAGGAAGAAATTTAAGTTTTTCTTTATTTTTTATTATTTATAAGCTGCCTTGAAAATCTTCAGAAATAAGATATTTATATGTCTTCTTAATTATATAAATTTAAAGAATTTAACCATCCTATTAGTTTACTGTTTACATTCAACAATAAAATTTATTATCTCCTCCATCTGGATGTTTTTGTCAAAACATTTTGCTAAATAAGAAAACAAAATTTTATGTTTATTTTTTTTTTCCTGTCCTCTTCAAAAATTAGTTTGCAAAAACAAGGTATAAAATATGTCTCACCTTATGTGGAAGAAAAGTAGCATGAATGAGGTGAATGAGTTGATTTTTTAACAACTGAAGTGTAATTTTTTGCTAAATGTGGGACCACCAGGAGCAGCACATATTTTTTTCTTGATTGTTTCTGTTCTCTATATCGGCCCTAGCAGCCACCCATACAAAAAAAGATCTATTAATCTATCAGCCAAAAAGATCTATTAAACAATCAGCCAAGTATTTCTAGAGCTCCTCATTGGAGCTGAAAGGTCAGTAAACAGGTCTGTCACCAGGTTTAGGACGGTCACATTCTCGTTTCTGCTACATTTCTGCTACATTTCTGCTACATTTCTGCTTTGTAGACTCAGTCTGAATCATCCAAGCCACCAATGATTATCAGTGGCGGATTCAAGGTGGGGGGGTGGGCAGCCGGCCCAGGATCCCCTAAATTGTTCAAAATTTTATTTAAATGGAGATATGCTGTAAGGAAAATTATATTCAAATTTTTAGTCCAAGATTGCAATTGCCGGCCATCTATAGGTGCCATAGTCACAAATATCTTCTTACCTCTTCCCCAGCGATTTTGGGGCTGAGGTGGTATAGACCCTCCATCTATGAAAGTCCCTTCCCAGCCCCCCCCCCCCTTCTATTTTGAATTCCTGGATCTGCCACTGATATTATTATGATGATTATATAACAAAAGAAAAAAATAAATAAAAAATGGTTCTGTAGATTTGGTTTTGTAAATTTTGTACAAGACTCATTTTAAAATATACATAATATATTGTTGTGTTTAGATTAATGGTAAGGATATGCAAGATGTTGTACACAAAGAAGCTGTAGACATTTTCTTGTCTGCAGGAGAGAAAGTCAGCCTATTAGTTCAACATGGTGTAGAGGAATATGTGAGGGTAAGAATCTTACTAACAAGTTCTTGTAATCTCGTAAGCTCTGATGAGGGCAGTATAATAGAGGCAGTAGAGTATATCGGCCCTAGCGGCCGCCTATATGGAAAGAGATCTATAAATCTATCAGCCAAAAAGATCTATTAATCAATCAGCCAAGTGTTTCTAGAGCTCCTCATTGGAGCTAAAAGGTCAGTGAACAGGTCTGTCACCAGATTTAAGACAGTCACTTATGAGGCTGTTGGACTAAGAATATTAATTTGCGGATAAATAACAAAGTTATTATGATTGCCATTTTCTAATATTGTGGTCTAAAATTAGAATTTTTGGCCATCTAATCCATAAAAATGTCTTCACATGAACTCCACCAGGGTTAAAAGAAATTTTAAATACACTAATTATTATGTTCAAGTTGATAATTTTTGTGTTCACTTTATGAGCAAATTAAATTCAAAAATAATTTTTTAAAATTATTTTTCATAGTTTTCATGGGACAATACATCTTTAAATGAAACTCGAAAAGTTCTGTTTCAAACTATTATACAAGTATTTTGGTGTCTTTTTGGGAGAAGACTTATATTTTTGTCAAAAGAAGCCCAAACACTTGGTCTAAAGATGATGGTATATTTAAACTGTCTCAAAGAATTTACACTTTTTATACCCTCAGGAGGCTCACCGTCAGAAAGTAGCTGCGTCCCAAGAAAAAGAAACAAGGAAGTTTCCATGGTTTGCATTTTCAGCAACAGTAGCTGTAGGTGTTCTGGGAGTGATTTACTACCTCAAGTACCATCGCTGACGTAACTTAATAAACGGCATCATTCGATTCCAAACAGAAACTTATTTACAAATTACATGTCTATGCTTTCTAATAGACTGTATCAATCGTGAATATAATACTGTTATTAATGTAATAAGATTTCTCAATTCTTCGGTGTGTCACTGAAGTGGAAATTCAAATTTTGAATTTTTTCCCCGTCCTTGACAGTCCCACAAAATGACATAATACTCTAATGTGAGACATGCGCAATATTTCTCCTGTCCCCTGCATATTGAATAGTGTGCTCTGATTGGTCTGTAGTTCAACACTCTTGGTGATGGACATTTTGACGGTGAAACATAATTCATATATGTACGTATATATGTATATATATGTATATATATATACACACACACGTATATATGTGCATTATATCTTTCCTAGTATTCAACACAAGGAAGACAAGCATATTTATTTGGATCTTTTCCTGATATTGACACTGAATTTTTCAAGTATTTTATTTCTATGACATTCATTTTGGTTGTAACATTGAATTAAAAGATGGAATTTTTCAAAAGACTTGTAGATAATGGGTTTAAAAATTGTAAGAAATATTCCACCTGTTTTAATCTCATTCATGATATAGATTTTGTACAAAACATGTTTAGAGAACGTAAAATCTGAAGTGCAGGTAATTGAGATATAACGATGATGAAATATATAATTGGCTGGCGTAAAATTTGATATTGTATTGATTACACTTAATAAATACTAAGACGGATTGAAAAAGTATTTGTTGTGCTTGAATCAGTCAATCAATCAATCAATCAATCAACATGGATTTGTATAGCACTGATATCCTTGGCAGAATGCAATGTTCAGTGGCACTAGGACAGTGGTATTACTCAAAGTGCACAGTAACCAGTCACCCGCCAATAATGGAGGTCCCTATATGCTTAAAAAACATCTTATCCCAAACCCTCTCCAAACTCGGTGGGAAGGTCTTTGGATGGTACAGTGCGCCAAAGTTACGTTTATCTCGCTCAGTTAGCCCCACCCCTGAAAATATATCCTACAGCCGCCACTGTATGCGATTAACCAGATATTTGGCATTTGTTTCCAATGGGCTTGGTACCTGTGATACCAACTTGTATTCCTGAAATGTTCATGGTAGTGTCACAGGGTTTGTCAGTGACTCGGACGGCTCATCTTTTCCGGAAATGCTGTTGCCAGTCTCTCAGTGGTGTGTCAAGATTGTCAGTGTGCCGACAAAATGAAAAATGTGAAAATTGTTTTAGAAACTGTAGGCTTACGTTTGATCGCATTATACCCAAAGAAGAAAAAATAGATAAAACAATGTCAAGATAGTAACGGTTGGGGTTGTGGTGGTTTGCCCTGTTAGTGGGGGTAGGGGTACGGTACGAGTGCTCTCGCACTGCCATACTGCTCTGCGATTGTTATTTATTATTAATGTTATTAGTTTCTATGCTGTTAATGGCATGAATGGATGTTTGTTCGCCCGTACATATGCCTGTGACTGCGATGTCATCAAATTCGTCGAAAGAAACAAGCAAATGGAGATTTAAGTTGGATGCCATTATCCATATCTCATAATATTTTGATAGTTTACTCAAGATGAAAATTCAGCGATGGCCAACCTAATGATTAGATCTTGTCTTGGATTTACCAGCAAAGCAAAGGGTTTTACAGCAGAAAAGTAGA